TGATTGGCTGCCCCAGAGGCGGGCGGAAAACTGCAATCACGTGACCCCATGTGGAATGTGGCGCCGGAGGTTGAAGGCGTTCTAGGGTCACTACAGATGTGGGAAGATTGAGTGAGCAGATGCGGCGAAAGCCTTCTTCACTGTTCACAAATTCACTCGCAAGTTTCCGAATCGCTGGCCATCCCAGCGCACAGCATATCGCTAAGGAACTAGAAATACAGTTGCATGCCCTCTTTGAAAATAAGTATCATTCTTTTTTTACACCGTGCCTTTTGCCCGATATTATTTTCGTAGGTGTACTCTGCTGAAGGAGGACAAGGGACTGCTACAAACGCTCAGTCGTTTGCGAGGCCGCGTCTCCTGCCTGTCGGATCTCAGTAGCGAATTTAAGTTCCTCTGGATTAGGCCAACCGCGGACTCCATACTCGCCGTCTGTCCCTCCCTCCGTGCTCAAAGAAGTAACACTGAGAAGTGGTCCTCCTTCACTCGATCAGCGCTTGAATTTGTTGCTGCCCTAGAAGCCATGACAGGTCATGATGACGTCAACGAGGGCGCTGTGACCGCAATGCTTGCTAGCACATTTGACCGGCGAGTTTTATCAACGGCGTTAATCATGAAGATCTTGCGATCTTGCCTGACAGGCTCTGAGGTAGGCTGTTTTACTGCATGACAAAAAAAACTTATTGACTTATCTGTCGCTGTCCTATCAACTGCATATCGCATAAAATACTGTTGTTTTAGTCTGATAGTTCTCTCTGGAATACTGTTTTGTCAAGTGTTTTGACCTCTTTATATGACCTGCACCGATGTTCGATTATCCACTGTGGCACTGTTGTCAAGACGGAGCTTCCGCCCCACTGTCAAGGATGATCCAGTTCCTTTTACAATTCAACGAATCTTACTACAACAGTCTTGCGATGGCTTGGCTTAAGCGTTGTCAAGTCCACATGAATTTGATTTTGATGTTTTGATGCTCTACAGTTCGAATGCCTAGCTTTTGTTTTTCAAGATAGTCCGAAGGGCACGGCGAACTTCGTTCTTCTAGGCATTGTATCGTTAACTGTAGTCTCCTGGTAGACACGGATTATGTTCCTGGAAAGTGTTGCTTGGTCGTCGCAAGGTGGGCCACTGCATGACCCATTTTGCCTTGATCACCAACTTCGTCTTTATTTGCTGAGTTGACTTGAAGCAACATTTCCGTCAAATGACTCAATGGGTCACCAATTGTCTTAGTCTTAACATTTTTGCCTTCTTCTGTTCTGCGACGCCCTTGGAAATATTGGTATGGTTATAAGCTCAAACAGTGACCCTCTCCGTTTTGGAGATTGGCCTTCGAATCAGCGTTGCTCCTCCGTGGTTCATAACAGCCTTAAATACTATCAGAAGCATCGTTCCTATTACTTCCCATAATGGCAGTTCGGATGCTTTCGAAACGTCAAGCTGGTGTGGTTTCTTATGTCGTCTGCGCATACGACTGCTTTCCTCCGTTTCAGCCCGCTTGAACAGGGGCCGTTGTATCAAGCAGGTCATTTTCCATTTAACTTTTTGCACCTATGTCACTACACAACGCGACGTTTTCATTGTGCACTCGAGTTATTGTAAATATCTTTGGTCTTCAAATGATCGACGACACATGTCTGAAATTGTCTATTGAGAACAGAAGGAATACGTTAAATTAATACTTCCTTATCATGTAAGGTTACTTTTTTTGGCCTGTTGTGGTTGGTAGCCCTTGTTGAATCAAGGGTCCCCGCCGGAGTCCAAACTGGGTGCAGTTGGGAGACGGAGAAATGCCGCGAACTTAGTCGGCTTGAGCCACAGGTCGACGGGGGTGAGTTGGGTGCCTGGCCGGGAACTG